CGTCCCAATTGGCGACGACCGGGCAGAACCTCCTATATAAGGAGCTAATTGAACACTTTAAGTTAGTTCAAGTACTTATTTTTATTTTTTATGTGCTATTCGATAATTATGATCACTAAAATTCAAAGTTTTTCAAAAGCCGCGGTACATAAAAATAATTATAAACTACGTAGCTAACAAATTCTTTACACCGATTATATTTTCTGTAAAACTAGGCCACAAACAAAATTGAATTTCTTATATCCAATTATTTAGGATTTTAGGTAATAAAAATCGTAAAAATTGGAATTTTTTTTGTGGCCTACTTTTATAGAAAAATTGTCAATGCAAAGAATTTTGATAATGTCTACAAAAATTATACAAATTTGTTGTCCCATCAGAAACACTTTTGTCCATGCCAAATATTTATTTCCTATGAAAATAGATTTTTTTCGATCGAACATTTCTTTTTTGTGATCTAACTTGAGAGACAAAAATTATCAACAACAACAACAAGCCTTAGTCCCAAAAGATATTGGGGTCGGCTAACATGAATCGATACATGATATCACCACCAAAAGGAAAAGAAAGAAAATAAAGATAAAAAAAGATAAGCTATTATGAAAAAGATAAAAAAAAGAGATGAATATACCTTAAAAATGATAAAATAAAAAGGATAAAAATAATGTTTATATATATAAGGATAAAAGGTTTAAAAAAACAAGAAAAAAATAAGGGGAAAATATAATACGAGATCACCCCTCCACACGAATACCAGCCCTCCACTTTGCTCTCTCCAAAGTCATACCCTCATCTAACTCAAGAAGAAACATATCACTTCGAACTCCCCTAACCCACGTTTGTTTGTGCCTTCCTCTTCCTCTCATCCTTGCCTCTTCTCCACACATCTCAACTAACTCGTCTAACAGGTGAATCACTCAGTCTTCTATGCACATGACCAAACCACCGTAGACGCGACTCCCGCATATTGTCTTCAATAGGTGCTACTCCCACCCTTTGTCTGATTGTCTCATTCTTCACGTGCTCCTTCCTAGTATGCCCACACATTCAACATAGCATGTGCATCTCCGCCACATTCACCTTTTGAATGTGACAATGTTTCACCGCCCAACACTCTACGCCATAGAGTAATGCAGACCTATTTGATGTCTTATAAAACTTACCCTTCAGTCTAGTCGGCATACCTCTATCGCATAGAAATCCTGACGCACTCTTGCACTTCATCCACCCTGTTCTGATTCTATGGGATACATCTCCATCTAACTCACCGTCCTTCTGAATTATCGATGCATATTTTTTTAAACGAGTACATTTTTTATTATCATGTCACCTTTATAACTCTAATAATTATGTCAAAAGTTATATGGAGTAATAACTAAAGATATTAGTTCAAATTTAACGGTGAGTACTACATTTATAAACATTTGAACAACTTAGGGATGACATCTACAATATTGAAAACGCGATAATTACCATGAATTCACAAGAAAGTGAAATTCCCCTTTTTATTTTTTATGTTAGATACAACTGTTGCTTAGACTACATCATCATCATCGATTCATCATCATCATTACTATTATTACTATTATTGTTGTTGTTGTTTATTAATTCATTTATTTAAAATGAAGACACAACTTTTCTCTTACAATAATGAGCTTTGTTTATTTGTTTATGAATACAATAATGAGCTTTTGTGAACGCCCCATCAAGTTTTTTTTAAATAAATGTGTGCTTAACTTTTTTTTAATCCCGGAAAGGCCACTTAAAGTGGGGAAAGTGCCGGGGAACATTTTCCTTATTTATTTAAACATTAAAGTACAAAACCAGAGTTCAAAATGAAAAGTACAAGACAAAATGAAAATTAATAATCCAACTTTTTTGCGGCCTTCTTACAATAGTGTCACTTAATCGTAATTCAGGATAATACAACCTTTGCACCCCATCTTCATTCGTTGGTCCAAGACCGGATGATGACATGCTATTTCAGACTTTTTCATTTTCTTTGCAAATCATTAAACTATAAATCCCACTTTTTACAAATCTTTTCAAAACGATCCAACAAATATTTTTTTCCCTAAAATTTTCTTTCATTTTTATGTATTTCTATCCGTTGTAGTCTCTTTTTATATTTTTGAGAAAAGAGACAAATAAGCCCTCGAACTATTCGCGATTTTGCAATCAGACTCATGAACTGGAAGACTTGCAGATACACCCCTCAACTCGTTGAAAGTCAAGCAATCATATCCTTTTTACTTATTGGTGCCGGTAATTTCTCATCTCCTTACCTGCACAGATGGGTAAAAAATGATCTGGTTGCTCGATTTTCAACGAGTTGAGGGGTGTATTTGCAATTCTTCCGGTTCAGGAGCTTGATTGCAAAATCGCAAATAGCTCAGGAGTCTGGGCTACTTGTTTATATTTTTTCTTTGAATTTTTTAGAAAAGAGAAAACTATAGGGGAAATTCTCCAAATAAGACTTAATGAAACTTTAATTGCAAGAATATGAGTATAACTTCAAAATTCCCTAAATAGGACTAGCTTTTCAATTCTACCCTTACTTTGTTTTAGTGGAATTCATATTTCATTAATAATTAACACATTAAAGTAATAACATAACTTAATTTATAATAAAAATGTAGGAACAAATACGAAAATAAATATTAAATAAAATTAGTAAAACTAAAACATTAGAGAAATATAAATTATAAAATTAAAAATTCAAAAAATTAAAATTACAAAAAAAAATCAAAAACAAATATGCAGGCCTCTGTAGCCGCTTGAACAACCTCCCAGCACCACCAACTCCGACATACGGAAAAAATTCCAACATGTGTCAATAATGTCATTAGGCATGGACCGGTCCCGGACCGGTCAAAAGCGGGACAGAATTTATGGGCCTAAGGCCCGGTACTGGCCCGAGAATCTACCGGGACCGGTCCGGGTCAGCCCGAGTCATTTAATTAATTAATTAATTAATTAATTAATTTTGCTTTTCTAATTTATTCCTATTCCCCCACCCCCAAACCCCGCCAAACCACCTAGCCCAACCCACCTAGCAGAGGCCCAAACCCACAAAAATAAAAATAAAAAGATTGGCCCGAACCGGTCCTAGAGCGGCCCGGCCAGTCACCCAATTGCATGTCCTGTACACCGCCCCCCAAACCCCGGTTCGGGCCTCAGTCTTGGTCCCAGTACTGCAGGACCGGGCCGGTATTGAAAAGTGGCGGTCCGGGCCGGTCAGACCGGGCCCGGTCCATCCTTAATGTAATCTTGATCGCGGTTTTCGAGATAAATAACATAGTTCTATACTTCTGGTTGTGCATCTAGGGATTACTTTAATCCTACTTTGGGGCTATTTTCTCAAAAATATATCAGCGGTGGAATCAAGGTAAGAAAAGAAAAAAGAAAATAAAAGTAAAAATAAATTAGAGTAAAAAGCGGGTACGGTGAGAAAAAGATCTTTTATAAGAAAGGAACTAATTTGAAATATATATATAAAAATGAAATAATAAACGGGAAGAAGAAAAGGAAGGAAAAAATGGATTACATAAACATGGAAAAGAAATAAAAATAAGAATAAGAGGTCGAAAAAGTAGGGGTGAGAAAATAACCGATTTAACCGACCTGACAAAAAACCGATGACCGAACCGACCGAAAAAATCGGCTTTCGGTCGGTTTTCGGTTATCATAAATTAAAAAGAATCGGTTATTCGGTTATTCGGTTTTTATTCGGTTATATTTTGGACGGTTATCGGTGACCGACCGATAACCGGTCACCGATAACCGTCCAAAATATATAAGTATATATATTCCATAGTAATATAATACTCCGTATGAAGTCCAGCCCACACTTTTTGAAGTCCACCTACAAAACTCAATAGTCAAATGCTCTGGAGCCCTCAACCCTTGACCTCATTAGATGAGTTTGCTAGTTTGGGGTTAAATGTTTAAGAAGATAACAGCTTAATTATTTGCTAATAAGTTATTTTTTATTTGGTTTCATGCACATGTGGGTGATGCATCATGCCTGCATATGTAGAGTGGTTTGTACTATTATTTAATTTAAATAAGTTAAATCCATTTTTATATTTATTATTTTATTTATTAATGTGTTGTCTACAACTTTCATAATTTTGAAAATTATATGCTTTTTTCGGTTATGGTCGCCTGGTCGGTTATTCAGTTACCGACCGAAACCGAATGACATTTTCGGTCGGTTTTTGTAATGTTGTCGGTTGGTTTTCGGTCGGTTATTTGACCGACTGACCGAATGCTCATCCCTACGAAAAAGTAAAATAAAAGAGTCAAGACGATAAAAATAAAAAGCGAAAAGTTTTAGGGAGAAAAAAATAAATGATACGTGGGACTAGAGGTGGACTCGGGCCGGGTGGCCCGACCCGGTACTGTTGGGCCCGGCCCGACCTAGTGGCCCGGTGAGGGACCGGTCCGGGTATGCCCGGCCCGGGGGGTTTTCCGGTGCGGGCTCGGCCGCTCGGGTCATGTAAATAAGGAACCGGCCCGGCCGGGCCCGGTTCGGGCCATATTTTTATTTTCAATTTTTTTTGAAAACCCGGGTTGGGCTAGGTATTTTGGGCCATTTGGGAGGTGGGGGGGGGGGGGTCGGGGGTTAATTAGGAAAAGGGAAAAAAATAGAAATTGGCCCGAGGCCCGACCCGACCCGGCGGCAACCCGGGCCGGTCCCCAGCCTTCCCCCAAACACAAAAGGCCCGACCGGTCCTAGGCCCGAGCCCGAACCGGCCCGGCTCCACCCCTACGTGGGACCGTTTTGAGAAGATTTGTGAAAGGTGAAATTTATATTTTAATGTTTTGCACATAAAAGAAAATAATCTGAAATGGCAGGTCATCTATCGGTCAGAGACCAACAAATGAAGATGGAGTGCAAATGTTTTATTATTGTTGAATTCGTATTAGGTACGAAGACCGGTTAGATTATTAGTTTCTATTTTTCCCTAAAAAAATAGGCGGAGCAATTAAGTTATGAACATGGGTATGTGCATCACATGTTATTTATCAAATATCAGAAAGTGTTATGAATGACTACAATTTCAAACTAGGATCTTCACCTACAAAAAATTATACTACGTACAAAAAGTGAAACACATTCCAACCATTGGAAATCAATTCTTACATGTGTTAGGTTAAGCTGCTGTACAAAGCTGGCTAACTATTTTAGTTACATGACTACTAACCTATTAAATACACAGCAACAATATTAATTGATTGTTAGCAGCCTAATTACCAATCATAGTGAAAGGTAACTCCGGTTTAATCCAGCAGCAAGCTAAGTCATCAAATGTTGGACGAAAAAATTAAAGGAATTGGAATAATTGAGAGAGCTAGAAATTGGCTGGAAAATGCACAGCTCATGTTATATGCATATTGAGTTTTTCCATATCATCATCATCATCTAGACCATCATCCTGCATGCGAAAAGTAGTGGCTGCACCGAACTTTCTCCTCTCATCAGATTCATCCTCTTCATATTCATTATCATCATCATCGTCAGAGTCGTCAAGAGTGTGGGGTGGGGGCGCAAGAACACTCCTAGACCGGCAGCTGGGAGCAGCCAGCATGTTTACCTGTCCCAAATGAGAAATTTCCACCACAACAGTTTCATCATCCAAAGGAAGGGGTTGTTTCCATGGCTCCCCATCAATCCTCATAAATGTGTGGTCTGCAGCACCTTTTTGGAACTCAAACCGAATTCCATGTGCCTGAAATACGGACAGACAGGGTGTGGGTGACGTAAGTAGTGTTTATATCCACATACAGCTAGCCTCAATTCGATCACTAGCACAGATGCTAGCTAGAGATCGAACAAAAAAATCAGCTTAGTATTAATTAATACTCCGTATAATAAAAGTTAAACACTAACTTGTGCAAGTCGTCTCCCATGCCCCCTTGGTGCAAGCAAAACGAGGCCATGCCAAGCATCCCGAAACCCAACCACCTCAATCAGCCCATCATCAACATATGGAGGAGTCAAGTCCCTCTGCTCCATTCATTTATAACACAACACATCATTTATTCTCATTCATGTCAATTAAAAACTGTAGTACACACTGAATAATATAATAGTACCTAGTAGATAAATAAAGGCATTTTACATTCCAACAAATTAATAATTATAATAAATATAGTATTCATAATAGTATCATGAAAAATTAACCTCATGGAGCTTTTTCTTATTGGGACTTCCCCAAGGATTGAAACCACCAGAAAAGCTGGGCAGGTTGAGGCAGACAATCGACCTGATACTGCATTTTGTTTTCTTACCAATCATTACTTAACAAAATCAAATGGCACTTGAGTTTTATTCCCCCAAAATGTATAGATCAGAGATGCATGATACATATTTCATAGGGAAAAGTACAGAAAAGGTACATGTGATTTGGGCCGTTTTCAGATAGGGGCACATGTTTTATTTTTTAACAAAGTGGGGCATGTGGTTCAATTCTGTTATCACAGCTGGGGCATGGCGTCTAACGCCATCAGAAAAATTAACTCCGATTTTCAAAAGTCTCCAAAAAAGTAAAAGAAAAATACTAAGAGGTGCGCCTCATCAAGAAGACCTCCAGACCATCTTTCTTTTTTTGTTTTCAGTCACCCGGTCGCCAGAAAGTCCACTGGAAAAGTGATATTAGCGAATTCTTTTTAAAAAATAATCCAAATTGAGCCAAAAAAATCAAAGAGAACGATTGTTTGTTGATCTCCTTGACGAGGCGCACCTCTTAATATTTTTCTTTTAATTTTTCGGAGACTTTTGAAAATCGGATTTGATTTTTCTGACGGCATTAGACGCCATGCCCCAGCTGTGATAACAGAATTGAACCACATGTCCCACTTTATTAAAAAATGAAAACGGTCCAAACCACATGTACCTTTTTTGTACTTTTCCCTATTTCATAACTCCTAGTATATATTAAGCTTATTTTCATTAACCATCAGAAATAAAAACGTGCTTTAATTACCTTCTTGGTATCTCGAGATCGACCCAATCACCGGTTTTTTTCTTTATTTTAACCTTACTCAGCTGTGCAATGTTCCTGCCAATTAGATGCGAACATTAATTCGGTGACGTTTATGATTAAGAAAGGGGGAATTCTTCCCAAAATATGACTTATTCACTTCTATTTGAGGAAGTTTTTATTACTTCACTCTTTTAATAGGACTAAATAAAATCTATTCTGGTAATAAAACATGCTTCATTCTATTTTTAAAGTTCGTCCATGTTTTACGCCTATTTTAAGCAATTTCTTTCAAGGGAGAAAGAACAATTATCTTCAAGTCTTAATTTCTGCGACTAATGTGCTGCAAAGAGACACAAATCCATATTTCCACTGGCAAGTTTTACAAAGAAAATACTATCTATAGCAATCAATGAATGTTAAGGGCATGCATATGTCATATTGTACACGAGCTTGAGTTTATGCCCTTTAAGGCCATGAAGAGACTAACTTCGAAGATGGATGTGTCAGAGAAGCCCAAAACCACCCTTGAGTACAGCCAAGCTTCGCATAGTTAGTCTAATACAAATAGAAAGAGTAGGATCAGAACAAAAGAAAATTCAGAGTTCAATATCCCAGGATTCCCAGCAATACAAGCTTTAATTACCATTACAAAAGATTAAGAATTTTATTGAAGACCAGAGGGCATTGGAGCACCTGATTAACTAATTGGTTTTTAAAATTTTCAGGATGTAGCTTCCTTTCACTGTGAAATGCATAAGAAACCTGTGCATCCATCCCTGCAGAATGAACGTTTGGAGTTTATGGAACAAGATGGCAAAATGAAAATAAGTTTCTCTTGATGCACATAAAACTTATAAAGGCCCAGGAGATTTGTTTGACAGTTTAAGGTTGATGGTAAGTGTACAGCATTATGAATATCTTTCTGCAATATAAAGCTGGATGCAATCTTACAGAAAAACACATCATCATTACAATTAACAATCAAAGATACTTTTAACTGTGGCGATGAATAATCATGTACTACAAATGGTATAAGACATTTAAAGAGCTGACTTTCAAATAGCATGAAGCATTGATATTCTAAAAAGTACAGCATACAAAATTGGAGCACATTATGACATGAGTACATGACTACAGCTGTACATAAGAGATTTGAACGTATTGCCCAAAGCTTAACTATAATGGAACCTTTAGGAAAATGAGAAAAGGGCGGATAACTAAAATAGTACCAAAACACACTACTCCTGTCATCCAATGCTACTAATGAATTAAAAAGGCAGAATTGAACAAATGACTTTGTATACAAATGAACAGTTTTCATGTTGAACTATTGATAAGCAAAGACAATAATCACAATACATGTGTTGGAATATAAATGAGATGAATATATAATCCTAATGAGGAGAGAAGATTAAAATGATCAAGAATATGTTCTTAGTTAAAAATAGTTCCAGAAAATGCGTTCGAATAATTTAAGTGAGTAAGAATACAAACTTACCCATGCTAAAATAGTTCCAGAATCCTCCTCTAAATGTGTGGTAACCCTCCTAATTAAAAAACAAGTAGAATGTTCAATACTTCAACAGTAGATAAAAATTATGGAAATCTAAGAGCAGCGTGGTATAAATGAAGCTCCAATTAACTGCTAGACTAGTTTCCCTTTCTGAACTCAAACTCAGCATAAGCATCTCTTTCATTTATCTATGTAAAGCTAAATGTCCAAGATCTTAACATGATATTACGGGACAAACATGCCTTTCAGCACACTGCGCTATGATCAATTACAAGTGTTATATATGAGCCTCTAAATGAAAAGAATATAAGAACTGTAAAGTCAGTATTAAAGGCACAAGTTATTTTGCATTCAAATCATCAATTGGATATAGGTATAGATCCAATTAGTCGGATAAGAAAAAATCATATCTGCTCCCACAGCAATGATTCCAATGAACACTCACTCTGATATCTGACCACTTGAGCACTGACATCTGTACATTTTGTAGGTCCTGGTAAACCCTAAAGTTATTTAAGTGTTCCACGGAATGAACACATGGTAGTGTTCCACTTGTGGGAGACTTGGGATGGTGAGCACTGAGTGTTTGGTGCTCTAGAGCACGGAAGAAAGCCCTAAGAGACAAAAAAAGCCTCTACCTCATTTAATGTATCTGCTTGAGAGACACGCTTAAAAGCATGCAGTGAATGTGGTAGCTCAAGGGGCGCAATGGGATCACAAGAGCCTTCAATAGGAGCCCTCATTTGCATAAGAATATGCCAGCTGAAACAAGTGGAAAATCATGCAATTACAACACAGGAAATGTGAGAAAAAAAATTGATAGGTCTAGTGAGACAGAATTTTCTAATCTCAGTCAAAGCATCTTAATTGTGATCCACTGTAATAAAAATTGACCGGTCAAAAAAACACATATGTGCAACAATTGTCTATTTGGTACTCAAGAGTGAAACTTCTTAGTTCTTACCTGTCAACTTTCATCACTTTTGCATTTCTTACTTGATCCAGGAAATGCTTCACAGAGCTGCAATCTGTACCGGGATTCTTTTTCCCCTGTGAATTAAAAGATGCGCTTATGCAGGTGTACGGTTTTCTAGATGATATGCAACTTAGAAACCTCAAACACAAGAATTGTACGGAACACGAATGTCACACATGCAATCTTACCCAGCCAAATGCAAATGGGAGATTGTTTCCTGTTCCTAAAGGTACTGTTGCAATTGGTGGTGGACATGCTAATTTAAGATCCGAAATCACTCCAAGAAGCCAGCCAGCTGTTCCATCACCACCAGCAACCTATTTCACTAAGTTAACATATGATGCATAGAACAAAACAGTCCAAAGGAGCACCAAACTACTGAAATGACTCACAATGATTCTCAGTGTGTTCTCGATTACAAAAGACATATTATCCCCATTCCTTTTATGCTTTTCCAAGTTCGAGTAAATCTGGTGTAGCACTTTGTCAGGAGATCTTTCTCCCAAATCATAAACCTGAAGAAAAAGTTGGTCCCTTGACCTTTTTAGGGCCTAAAACATTCTCAAACTTTATTATACTCTGTAAATAAATGCATTAGGTTTTTACACATTGAAGGTATAACTGATTGAAAAAAACACGCTACAAAGTAAATGAACCTGATTTTGGTTGAGAAGCCTACGATACGTCAGCAGAAGTTCGCCCCCCAGTTGGCCACCACTTCTAGAATTGATAAACACTACGATGGGGCAAGCAGGTACTGCATAGGACGTTGTTGCTTCTATTTCAGACAAAAGCATGTAATCAGGAATGTAGTACTCCATCAAAACCTTCTCAGATTCCATGCTACTCACAGCTGCACCCTTGCTGGGGGATTTAATATAAAAAACGGTGATGAACTCTGAATATTACGTTCCATCAACCCCCAAAAAACAAATGAATAACTTACGGATTAACCTATTAACACATCATTCCCTGTCTAATTACAAATGAACTCTGATTCAATTAAAAATGTTATCAGCCAATCCATTTTATCTCTAATTCTTCTACATGGAGCTACCATACCTAAAAAATCAAAACTAAAAAATTCCACCAACAATTAAAGAGAAACCAGGAAATTCATCAAGGAAAGAGCTACTAGAACCGAAGGGCACTGGTGCTTCAATAAGCTTGGCACCTTTTAAGGCAACAATAGCTAAAGGGCGTCTTCATATAGTTCGCCAAGGTCCGCCGTCTTCTGTCCAACCTTCTCATCACATACAATTCACCGGAAATTTGTTCAGAAACTCTACATTAACTAGGCATATTTATCCTTTCCCCCACTGCACACAGTACACGCACTCCATACTCAAACTCCTACGTAGTACTCATATATTAGGAATTAAAGTTAGATGCTTTACCTGTCCGGTAATAAAAAGGCGGATGCTTTTCTTGTCCAGAAATGCTTCCCTATACACCCAAAATTCGGTTAATCGGCTGGATATCCAACTGTGACTTCACCCATACGCACTGGAAAAAGTGAATTATGACTCCCGGCAGTGGAGGTTTTCAAATTCCTCCTCTACCAAATATATATACTGTACACTTGCAATCAGATATACTCCGTGTTAGAGATTGAGAGATTATTATTTGTAGTCAGGCCTGACAATTTTGAAAATCTAATTGCACTTGATGAAGGAAATTTGAATAATCAAATCCGCGTGCCATTAATCGCGTAGATGTAGTGACGGGGAAATACAACGGAAAGTGGTTCGCGCAAATGGGAGAAGTTCAATTTGGATGCGGATTGGGTTGCTGCTTATTTCTTCCCTCAGAAATGCAAAGAAATTTCGCGGATTGTGGCAGGGCCACCAGTTTGAAATTTCGCGTGGTCACAAAGTTCGGTTAACCATAATTTGATCCTCTAATTTGGTTTGATCCGGATCAGCACGGTCATCTCATGTACAAATTTGTTTCTCGGGTTTTGCCACCAGTACAATACGGAGTACTAAAAAACAACTTTTAGAAAAAACAAAGACTTACATGAAGGATGAGGACCATTTTACCCTTACAAACCTAGTTGACTCATACAGAGATAAAAAACATGTTTTTACTTGGCTATTTTCAGTCTCAAACCAGACCAGACAATACTTAAACACACCAGACTTAATCAGACCATATCAGACTTAAACAGACCAGACCAGACTTAAAAAGTCCAAACCAGACCAGACTTGACTTCCGTAGTTATAAAATACACAGAGATCAGACGTTTTACCAAACCATACCAGACCAGACTTAAACATACTAGACCAGACCAGACTTAAACATACCAGACCAGACTTAAACAGATCTGATCAGACTTAAACAGACCAGACCAGACTAGACCAGCAAATTACAGTCCAAGTAAAAACATCCTTACAGTTACAGTTATGTATCCCAATTCAACCAGTTACAATTACTCGACACGATCAGTTATAGTTACCCGATTCGATTTGTTACAGACTTACAGCTACCAGACAACTTACATTTACCCAACTCGGTCAGTTATAGTTACTCAATCTATTCGGTTACGGTTACCGATCGATCTGACCAGTTATAGTTACTCGACTCAATCAGTTACAGTTATCTGGTCCAGTCATTTACAGTTACCCGATCATATAGTGATCGCAGCCCCGGCCAGTCACCGCCACCGCTCTGGCCGGTCACCGATGCCACCCCGGCCTCGCTTAGCCCCCTTCCTAACCCCCCATATCAGACCTAGCCCCCAGCCCCCCTCCCGAGCTTCCCCTGCACCCAACCTCAAGCCGTAACCCTTGACCCAAACCACCGCTCCAAATTGCCACACCAAAACCCTAGTCGTCGCCCCAAACCGCCGCACCAGATCCCTAGGCGGCGCCCCTTTAACTCCCTCCACCCCTATCTTTTTTTATTATCTACAATTAGAATTGATCTTATAATTGTCCATCTAAAACTCCATAGTATTATTTTGTCAATATTTCTTCTTTGATTTGGGATCTTTTTACTATCACGAGTCACTTGGATTCCAGCGACTGCAGCTATAGTTTTGAAGATTGCAGATAAACTTTCCATGACTGCGGCTAGGATTCTAACTAATGATTGGGGCTATGGTTAGAACATTTTTGATAACGAGCTAATTTGATTAGAGAAGGTACGTAGCCACTGTCAGGGTTTGCGATTGTAAGTGTCTGGAGTAGATATTATGCAGATTGAGAAAAGGAAAAAAAGAAATAAAGAGAGTTATTGCGCAAAAGGAGCTAAAGAAATGACAAACACAAATTAGACATTATTTATGCGGAAAACGGTAAATAGATCGAAGGAAGGATAAAACATCAAACTTTATCATAAAATTGTGGCCCACTCCCACTTGTTTACTTATCTTTAACTGTTCTTTTGATCCAAGAGCCTATTTTAATTTCTTCCGGATTTGAAGTCTCTGGAACGGCCAGACCTGAAAAGTCATATACTCCCTCCGTATTTATAAGTTCACTACAATAGCATTGTGCACATTATTTACAATAGTGTAGAAAAAGTAGGAGAGAGTGTGTAAAATTATGAACGAGAAGATAAAAAGTAGAAAAGTAAGGGTAGTTGAGTATTTTTAAAGGAAAAACTTACCAAAAAGGGAAAGTGTAACAAACTTTTAAATACATCCCAAAAAAGAAAGTGTAGCAAACTTTAAAATACGGAGGGAGTATTTATAATTGGGGTAAATAATGTGATGAGTCACTTTTTGGAAAAATAAAAATGAATCATGGATTTCGAATTAAATAGCTAATAGTGATATACGTGTCATTTTTCAAAAGTATAAGAAAGGTTGATTTAAACTTCATGTTTGTCATATTTTGTAAACTTAAATTGAAACAAATTTTAAAATATGTTTATAATATATAAATTTAAAAAAAAAATATTCAAAGCTGAGTATGCAAATTAAATAGTGCATATGTCACATGTTGCTGTGAAACAAATTTTAAGTATTTACTTAAAATTGATCGCAAATAATAATATATGAGAATATAAGGTACAATCTTTAAATATGAATCCTCTGATTCTTCTCTTGCAATTTGAAGTAATATAATTAAAGAATTTAATTTAAAATTAAATCTCTAATCCTTCAAATATTCGAACGTTCTTCGAATCTTCGAATCTTCGTTCTTGAGATCTTTGAATCTTCGAATCTTCGTTCTTGAGATCTTCGAATCTTCGTTCTTCGGATCTTCAAATCTTCTTGAATAAAGAATTCAGATTGAAGGGCCTCCGGTTTTCAAGTGACTTGATCTTCAACAAAAGGGCCGTTTTATGGCTTAATCTTCTGTTTAAGGGCCTCCCGGGATATATGACTTGATCTTCAATTGAATTTTGATTCACTCTTCATATGAATATCTTCAAATCTTCAAAAAGATTCGTTCTTCATATCTTCGAATCTTCAAAACTTCGTTCTTCAGATCTTCGAATCTTCAAGCTTCGTTCTTCAGATCTTCGAACGTTCTTCAACTTTTGGCTTTGTTTGATCAAGAATAGATGAAAATCACAAAGGATTAATCATATATTCTTGACAAAAACATGGATTGATATCTTCCGATGTTTCAGAATCCTTCAGAGCCTTTCGGGAGTTCTTCAGAGCTTTTCTGCAGCGTTTCTTCGACTGGAAGTTCTCTCCTCTTCCTCTCAACTGAGACCCCTATTTATAGGTGTGGAGGGGGTGAAAATATGCTTTAGGGTTTAGCAAATTCGTCCATACCCCATGGGCCTCAATTAAAATGGGCTTCGGGCTCTATTTTCTTGCATTTTAATAGCTAGAAAAATCAGCACTTGTTCGATGTATCTGGATAGCTTTCTTAACAAGGTTCAAAGCTATTTCTGATGCATATGGACATGTTTTTTTAACCAGATTAGTCCTCTTTATCAACTGGACCATGTCTCTTATTTATTGGGCTCAAAATTAATAGGATCAACCCATTTTTTAAAGACTGAATTTATAATTAAATTAATTGGACATTTAAGTGACCCAAATCAATTTAATCATTGAATTACATCCGAATGAACCCATATTAATATTTTCCTTTTGATTAGGCCCATAGATCGTTACGAGCAGTTCAACAGTATTTGACGTTGGCCCAATAGCCTTCAAAAGAGACCTAATAAGACATATAATAGTCCGATAGCACTTGAATGCGTTTAATAATATTAAGGACCGTCATAAATAATAGGAAAAATTGAAAATAATAATCCCAACTATTGCCGGTCCGCCGATAATAATCCCAACTATTGATTATTTTTGTATAATCCCAACTATATGGACCGTCCGCCAATAATGGTCCATGACCAAATATTACCTCCTATAAAAAGTGAATTTTAAATAGAAATTAAGCGTAAAAATTAAAAGTTGGGATTATTTATAGGGATTACTTGTTATATCTCCTCTCATCCACTTGAGAAACTACAACAATTTATTTATAGGGACCATTATTGGCGGAAGGTCCCTAAAGTTGGGATTATTCTGAAATAATCGATACTTGGGATTATTATAGGCGGACCACCAATAGTTGGGATTATTACTATCAATTTTTCCTAAATAATAAGTCCAAAATATTGAATAATTTTCAATATCCACAAATGCCCTCTCGAGACTTGCTTGGATGTACCACTTTTATTTCCACGAACAAGTGAGTCTCGAAAATTGATTTTACTGACCCATCATCCGTATGTGGTTGACAGATGTACTCCCAAATTTGACTTAAAGTAGGAATTCTCAATTGCAACTCTATTCCAAGTTATACGAACGTACAACTTAAACTAGGAATTCTCAGATGCACTCAAACATTAGTTGGAGGTACCAATTTATACGGATCATTAATTAAGAGGTTCCAAATTGTATTTCATTCGGACTTTCTCTTCTATTAGGACTTTTATCATTCTGGCTGATTTTTAAGATCCGAATTCCTCTCATAACTGTGTATATATAAACCCAGCTGATCGTCTTTTGCATCTCCAATTGTATTCCCAGCTTGTAAAAGGTTGATAAAAAAAACCCTGCAACCATAAAGCTGATCGAAATCCCTGAAGCCATAAAGCAATAGGTGAATTTCCTTTTCCATTCTTTCTCTATATAGTTGTTTTCTTTTATCGTGCTGCAGGTGATATGTGGCGTCGTTTGCTGGAGAGAAGAGTGGTTGGTTGTTGATGCTGTTCGTTGCTCTTGGGAGAAGAAGAACTCAATCCCTGGTTCTGATTTTGCCACCTTCAATTTCAAGCCGCGCAGTTATCAAGATATTTGGAAGCAGAGAAACAGTAGGTGACTTTTTTTCTTTACTATTCTTTCTTTCTTCTTTTGGTCTATTGCAGGGGATATTCGTTGGAGGCAGAAAAATCAGCTACACGCCTACATAAGGATGACAATTCCAGCCCGTGGAAGGTGTGATTTCTGTGCCGCAGGTGTCATTATACCGCCGTCGATTCAATGGGTGATTGGCAGGGGCGGGCCCAGGAAATTCATGGAGGGCGGTAGTTCAAACAAAAAAAATTCTTTAGGGGGCGAAAATTATTTTGCGTATATATATATACTAAAAAAATTTATTGTTGGAGGGGCGGTAGCCCCCAGGGTTACTACGGTCCGCCCCTGGTGATTGGGATCTTAATCTGCCTACGAGAATGTTGGAACCCTGATATTTTTTTTCCTGTTTCTAGCGACCTGAAGATGGCGTTAAGCCGTTAACTGCTTATTGTGGAAGACAATCAGGAAAGCTCAAATTGAAGCCTTGAAGGAGTATGTGAGACGTTCAAGGAGTATCGTCATTCGAAGCTATGAAGGAGGTTACAACCTTGTTGTCGTTAAAGGAGCGGTCTGGATTTCTGTTCGTTTGACGAGCCAATATGGAAAGCAGGTTGGCCGCCGATTTCTCTAATTATTTCCGCCGATGACAGAAGCTGGT